CCAAACTATTCTATGATTCTATGAATGCATCTGTATATAGGCTTTCCTTCAGTGATTAATGTTTTTAGAGTGCAGGAGTTCTGTCTTTTATTACACTTACTTAGGCTGAACCTTCGAAACAAATGACTAGTCTGGAAAATCCACATAATATTATCCTATACTTCTCTGTTGACTTTAGTAAAAGATTTGAACATTTAAATTGTTTGTAAAAAGCCAATGATGAATGGATTAAGCAAAATCAAAGTGTACAGTCAAGGAAGGCAGTGTTGAAATGCCTTGTTCTTTGTACAAATAGGTGAAAATACCTGTCTCTGCACAGAAGACAGTGTTTCCCACTTTCAGTTTCTTTTCTGAAACTCATCGTATACTGATCCTGGCAATTTGAAACTAAGAACTTCCTTAGGTTCAGACTAAGCTGAGCTTATTTTTAGGTGGCTTATAATCTGTCAAGAAAACTCTGCTTTACTAAAGTAATAGTAAAAATACATGTGCGATGATATTCTAAATCATTGTGTCATTTCACATAACGAGGGGTCTGGAGCAGTCAGGCAAAAGGTATATAGCAAATGTATCCATTCTGTAGAATTTATCTTATCTGGAATGCATTTTCATGTTGTGGGGATGTACATAACTGAACTTATCAAAAGAGTACACAGCATAGATTTTTACACAATATGTTTTATACTAGCCTGTGTCTTTTCTCTTAGGTATATAAAAGAAGGTGATAGCGTGTCTCAGTTTGATAGCATCTGTGAAGTACAAAGCGATAAAGCTTCCGTCACTATTACTAGTCGTTATGATGGCATCATTAGAAAACTCCATTACAATTTAGATGACATTGCTTATGTTGGAAAACCACTAGTGGACATTGAAATCGATGCTTCAAAAGGTATTATAAGCCATTTTTTTCTCTTGTGTATTTTATGTTTGTTGTCATAAAACCATCAGTGACAGAGGAGTTTACTTTTTCCTCCTGAAAATATGAAAACTGAAATATTTTTTTTCCCTTTATAAAGTCAAGAGAATTAAGTAGAAAAAGCTGTGATATTTTATTAGGATTTAAAATCTCAAAATACAGACATTTCCTATTGACAATTTAGCTTAAGCAGCAGCCTTTAGCATGCTATATTCCCACCCACAGTAGCTCAAAGTAAATGTTAAAAACTTCAGCTGTCACAGAATCACAGAATGGTTGGGGTTGGAATTTAACAAATGCTTATAATGTAGTAAAGTTTAAATATTTCTTTTTGTTTGCAGGTGTTGCCCCAGAAGAAGATGTTGTTGAAACACCTCCTATGTCTCATGAAGAGCACACTCACCAAGAGATAAAAGGTCACAAAACATTAGCAACCCCCGCAGTTCGTCGTCTGGCCATGGAGAACAATGTAAGTTTGCTGAATCAGGTCCTGCTGCATTTTATCCATCTTTTATGTAGCAGCTTGACTGACTAGGAGAACATTGATCTAGAGGAAAGTGCAGTGAGAAATGACTTGTTTTCAAATACATTTCAAATGTGTAAAAACCGTTGTAAAGATGAAGAGGGTTGTGCTTTCTGATGATTGTGGTGGATAGGAAAAGAATTACTGGGCTTAAAATGCAGCTAGGATACTTTAGGCTGGAGATTAAGAAAACCTTTTTAGAATAAAAATAATAAAGTATCAGATTCCTGGGACAGAGGAAGGAGGAGGGAAAAATGGAATCTCAGCTTTAGCTACCTTGTTCTGTTTTTCAGATTTGTGTTAGAGCAGAGGATGTACTAGGTGATCTTTTAAGCGCTTTTCTAATTCTTTTTTCCTGTGAATCTATGAATATTCCATTGGTTTTGAAAGTCTGTAGTGCATTTTTAGTAGAAAAATAAAACAATAAGTAGAGAAAATTAAGTGACAAACAGCTTTCCTCAAATTACTATTTCACTCTTGATCCCGTGAGGTAATTAAGAGGTAAGTAGTATTCATAGCTCCTCCTTAAAGGATGCGATTAGACACCTAGTGGGCCTTCTGGATGATTTGAACAATGTTGAGTACCTAATAAATCATAGAAAGGGTAAGAAAACTGTAGGTATGTTAGGTCAGTAACTGGAATAATTTTTAACCGTAGCTCACAATATAGGATATTTTTATATTGCTGTAAAACAAAAGTGTCATAGCTTGTTATGTACTTTTCAGATTAAATTGAGTGAAGTTGTTGGAACAGGGAAAGATAACAGAATCCTTAAAGAAGACATACTCAATTACTTGGCCAAACAAACAGGAGCTATTTTACCTCCATCACCGAAGGCTGAAATTATCCCACCTTTGCCAAAATCAGAGACTGTGCCAGCTGCTCCAAAGGACAAAGCACGCAAAATTCCTGTACCTGTTTCCAGACCCATTGTGTTTTCAGGAAAAGATAAAACTGAACCTATAACAGGTAAATCATAAAATATAAAATCTTGAGACCTTGTTCACAGTAGACTACCAGTAAATGTTACTCAGTGAACAGTTGATTCCTTTTGATGGGAGTGTGCTTCATATTATTGTCATGCAAGTGAGCAATAGAAAAACATGCTCTGTAAGAAGGTGTTGCATGAAATTATTATTTTATTAAATAATTGTTAATGTTTTGGTTGGATGGAGTTGGGCTGCAAATTGCACTTCTCATTTTTAATCCACGTTTCTTCAAATGTATGCTGAAACAGGTAGGAATTCTGAAACACGTGAATTTGTCACAGTATGAATCATTATGCAATTAGTGGCAAAGTGCAGTGAATTTAAGGGTTTATCAGTGCTTAATAATAGCGTACTTCAGCATTCATACTTGTTCTGGAGAAGAGTGCAACAAAAGACACTAAGGTAAGAAAAATCACATTAAAAGAGGAAGATAAAAGGTTTTTGCTTGCCTTTCAGGCAGTGTTTATTTGGAGAGGCTGGGAAGAGTAGAGTCAATTAATGTATAATGATTTCAAGTACATGCATACTGAGGAGAGATATGCAGTGATATAATCTGAACTATTACAATTGTAAAAATTGAGTTGCCTGTGCTGAATAACTGTTGATCCTAAAGTGAGCTTTACCCTGTCCTTTTTTTGTTGTGGTTGGGTTTTGTTTTGGTTTGGTTTTTTTAAGTTACGTAATTTGTTTAATGGAAACAAATAATTTAAATTTCACCATAACTTCCCAGAAGCTCATTTTGTTGGTTTAAGAAGTCAGTGAATATTTTCCAGGTTTTCACAAGGCAATGGTAAAGACTATGAGTGCAGCCCTGAAGATACCCCACTTCGGTTATTGTGATGAGATTGATTTGACTCAGCTTGTTCAGCTGCGAGAAGAGCTGAAACCTCTAGCACAAATTCGTGGAGTTAAGCTTTCCTTTATGCCTTTCTTCATAAAGGTGAGACGTGCAGCAGAGCACTGTATGGAGCACTTATGCAGATTTTGCCCAAATCTGATCAGTGATTGTTGTAAGTTTGGAGCATCTCTCTATCATCTGAATAATTACAGGTCACAAGAAAAGTCTCAACTTTTCTTGTTTATTGAACCACTTATGAATTTACTGTTGGAATTGCAGGTAGGGTTATATAATATCATGGAAAATTTTTGAAATATTAATGGGGAAGGATAGAGCAGATAAAGCATTATTCATTATCGGGGTAGGCATCACTGGGTGTTTGAATTACAGAAAACAAATTTTGGAAACTGTCAGTATTTTTTATAAGCCTTATTAAAATGAACCTCATGTGAAATGCATCATTATTATTGTTATTATTATTATATTTTTGTTGGTAATGAATCCCTCAGGTGAATGAGTGTGTCTCTTCTGTTGTTCAGAAGACCAGGCACTTGCATTCGTTTAGTTGCCATGGTTCCGTTTCCAACTGTTGGCATCAGTGAAGGCTGATGCACTGCCTAAGCTACGCATTGAACGCATAGCTTTGTCTGAAACTTCTGGTAATGCTATTTCAATTAGAGTGCTAAGTAAGCCCTCATTCTGCTCACTCTCTTTAGGGGGAATTAATATTACTTCCTTGAAATAATTGTCATCTGAGTGGAGAGCTGAGAATGACATTGCTGCTGAATCTCATAACTTGTGTCATGGGATATTTGATTTGAATGGTGGAACAGAAATAACGAATGCAGATTCAACTTCAATTATACTTGGGAAAGGGATTATCACTTTTTATATGTCTGTCTGATGTATATTTGGGTTTTGTAAGTTGTCTTTTTCTTCTGCTATCCTAATAATGACAGAATATTGACAGACAAGTTTAGGAGAGTTTAAGCCAAATTTGATTGCATTGAGAAAATCCATATTGTTATTAATTTAAATTGTCTCCCACCGTTCCTTCTTTTCCATGCAGCTCTCCAGTTATAAAACTTAAAAAACTATCATTTTTTTTTTCTTTTATATTTAACAGACAGCCTCTCTGCTCTGGGATTATTGCAGTATCCCATTCTTAATGCTTCTTTGGATGAAAGCTGTCAAAATGTCAGATAAAAGGTTTGTAAACTACTGATAAAAGTTGTGAGTAGAAGGCCTAAACTAACAGCTAACAAGGGCTTTTCAGAATGTCTGAGCTAATTGTAAGAACCAAAATTATGATGTTGTGCTGGAAAATAATTTGTGTCCAGATTCTAAGATTGGATTTGATTTATTATTTTTCTTATTTCAGTAGTTTGTTTAATGAGAGTCACTTTGTTATTCAGGCTTGCCTCAAAAATGCATATTAATATAGTGATTTCCTATTTTTCACCTGAAGATGGGCCAAGCATTTTAAATGAAAACATTTAAAATCTAATACAGTAATTTTTTAGTAATGGCACAGTGGTTCCACTGTTCCAACGCTCAACCCTTATGTATTAAAGTCATATTTTAAACTCAGTTTTGATAAAAATTATTTAATTTTCATACAAGGAGCTGGATTGATACTTCTGGGCAGTGAGTGTCTATTTTCTTAAGCGATGTGTACATACTCCCTGCAGTACAAACTCCTTTTGTGCTGTTTTATCAATCTCTCTCAGATGAATCCTTATATATTCCTTCTAGTAAACGAAAGGCAACTCAGTTTCCTTTTTTTTAGTGTTCTCTTTAAAATCTGCTAGTCATGTTTTGTTACCCATATAATCATCCTAAAGTGAAATATTTTCAGTGCAGAAATGATTCCAGGATTTTGTATTTCCTGGATGTGAAATTGTCAAAATCAATTTGCACTTCGCAGATGTGGAAAGCTAATATTTAAAAATTTACATCCCCTTCTCCCCTCAAAATTGTATAGAGGAGCTGCTTACTACAGACAGCGCTTTCTAGGTTAAAAAGATATATAAAGAAGACATTATTCAAGTGGTTTTTTATGTAAAATACAATTTTATGTTGACTGCTTACGTTAATGTCTGGTTAATGAAACTTGTTGCAGGCTTCGCACAACATTGGAGTTGCTATGGACACAGAGCAAGGTTTAATTGTCCCAAATGTGAAAAATGTTCAAGTCTGTAGTGTGTTTGAAATTGCTTCCGAATTAAATCGCCTACAGTCCTTGGGCTCTGCAGGCCAACTGGGAACAAATGACCTCACTGGGGGAACATTCACCCTTTCAAATATTGGCACAGTAAGTACAGGAAAAATCATAGAATCATTGAGGTTGGAAAAGACCTCTAAGATCATCGAGTCCAACCATCGACCCAACACCACCATGCCCACTAAACCATGTCCCTAAGC